CAACGAGATTTTCCTACGTGTCGTGCGGATAGCACAGAAGGATGTGGCGAGTGAGGAATCTATGCTGGTGCCACTGCGCCTTTCGCACGTTTGTCGTACATGGCGTCACGCAGTTGTATCGTGTGCATCTCTTTGGGCGTACATCAATGTCCTTGTGGATGTTTACCGCAGCACGGAACAAGATGAAAGGCTCGTAAAAGCTGTCGACACTTGTATCGAGATGTCCAAGGCAGCTCCGCTTAGCCTGTCAGTCACTTGCAATACCATCCACGTTCCAAAGCCGAAACTAGAAGTCGCGAGGTATATTCTTAACAGATTACTTGGTCAACAGCACCGCTGGAGGGTGGCTAATTTCGCCTTCAAAGAGATGGATCCTAGTAGATTGCCAGAAATTGAACTCATTAACGTGCCAATGTTGGAGTCACTCCGCATCTCTTGGAGGACGCTAGGGGCGTCTAATATGGCACAACCACAAGTACGTATTGATGCTTCGCGTTCTTTAAGTCTCAGGTCTTTGCACGTCAAAGGCATCCGTTTGGAAATCAGTGGAGGAAAACTTTATGGTGTAAAGGAATTGACCTTCCACGGTGTTGAGACGGAAGTCCGGCTGGTGGAGCATCTGGAAATCGTCAAAAAGGCACCGTTATTGGAATTCATGGAGGTCGAGTTCGTCTCGAGCAAATTAGCTGGACCAGATGATTTCCAATTACCCGTGATAACACTACATAACCTGCATACACTTGTGGTCAACGGCTCTAATGTTTCTATGTCCATCATACGCAACCTGATCCTCCCGTCTCTGAGACGATTGATTTGTGGCCCTTTCGGACCTGCTAACTACCAAAACATCAAAGGCCTTGTAGATATGGGCGAACGGAACCAGCCACCTTTGGAATACTTGGAGGTCTGTAATACCTCCGTGACTGAGTGGACTGAAGACAAGGTCGTCGCCCTTCTTCGACTCCTACCCGAGTTGAAAACTCTGCGTATGGAGAAAGTCTATGTCACATCCAATCTCTTCAACATGCTGTCTGTAAAAGACACAGCCAAGAGTCATAACGAGTTTTGGGGAGTCGTCCCAATTCTGTGCCCCAATCTCATGGAGTTCTATCTCAAAAGGAACGGGTACCTCTGCGATGGAGAGGAAAAGCAGAAGGAATGTGTTGACTCATTGTGCAACATGCTTGAGAAGCGCTGCAATGCGTTGGGAGTAGTTGGATCCATGGAATACCGGCCTGTTGGACCACTCTCCGACAGTGAGATCCCATGCTTCAATGTCCCGTTTGTTGATATCGGCTGTACGCAGATGCGCGAGGCCCTTAGGACAACAAAGCAGCTGCTCGTTCGATTCAAGAAGCCATCGACTGTAGAGCACTAGAAAAAAAGTTTGCAGCTTGCTATTTCTCTTCGCAGGTACTTTAACAAAATTACTTGGATCAAGAGGAACTTTAAACGCAGGTCTATTCACGCTGAGAATCGTGTACCTAATCTTATCCATTATTTATGATATTACTTGTATACCTCCAGACACCCGAGTAATCTCTCGATCTATTATGCTGTCACCAATACTACAGCTGCTTATGCCGGCCCAGTCCTTTGTATCTAATAGTAAAGAACAAATATATCTGAATCATGATCCATTGCAACACATCTAGGTGACGAGATAATTCCTCAGTGCTTTCGACTCCCTAGCGATGTTTCGATACGTTACTAAGCGAGTACAACATCATGTCTTCGTATCTAAACGCCTGGTGACCATGCAAGCCTCAGAAGCACCTTCTCCAAGCACACAAGCAGTGGACTATCAAGCCAATGTTCAATCAACACGCCACCGGAATGTATTTGATGGCAAAACCTTATGGTACCAGGCTACCAGCCGTGTTGACCAGAAGGAGGTTAGAACACTGTCTACCACCATGCCTGCGGTAGTAAGGGCCTCACTGTCGACACATAGTCAGAACCGTATGTTTGTTCAGACAGTCTCATCATCTGCGCAAGGAAACACTTTGGTAAGCTGTGGTCTCCATGTTGCTAGCGTTTTCATTCAAATTGTTGGCCTGATGGATCGCAGCATAGAGTATTTGAAAGTTCATTAAGACAAGTGCAACAGTACAACTTATTACAAGGATATAGCACACCGCACAAACAACCTATGTATAAAACAGTCAGCATATAGTCAACGCGCTTCTTTGCGAAAGCTAATTAGTTCCCAAATCGTAAGACGACGGTCCTGTGAGCCAACTGCAAGCCATCGACTCCGACTTTCTCGTTCTTCTTCAGTCAACTCGTCATCCTCCTCTGACGTTTCTGAGGATTGCTGAGGATTCGAATGCGCAAAAGCGACTGCCTGACAACTCTTTGTGTGAAAGGACAGGGTTCCGAGTGACTTGAAGGATTTCGTTGAGAATAAACGGATTCTGAACACTAGTGGTAAACAAAAATATATGGAGAAGAGGACGCCGGCTCCTTACTTTCCGTCCCATCCGCCGATTACACAGACGCGTCCGTCGGAACGTAGTGCAATGGCACCGTTTCCTGGTTGTTTAACTCTATGTTTTGTAAAACGGTTTTCGTCTCCATCCTTAATATTGCGGTCACTTCAGTCATGAAGGAAAAAGCAGAAAGAAAGGACACGTACATCTAATGCATATCGAACAATAATTGGGTCGGCTGACACAGTCAGAGCGAACGAAGCATCTGATGAAACGGTCATTGCCATAACTGCAAAATGTGAGTATATGCGCGGTCATATATACTAGAGCACCTACCAGACTCGGCATGTTGTCTTGTTCTCCACATGCATTCCCAGCCTCGACCTTCAATGGTTTTCTCGTGTTCATCTGAAATGCATCGTCGCAGAGCAACCTCCCCAATCTCGTATGCCGACAACAAATGAAGCTGGGTTGATTTCATGAAGAGGTGCAGTGACATTAGAATACCTAAGAATTAGTATCAATACATTTAATTCTGTCAAGGATGTCTCTTGAAAATACTCGCCTGTTTTTGCATTTCCACGACCATCGGAATCAATCTGCCAACTTTTCATGCCAATTTCAGGAGCCTCTACTTTCCCAATAGCAGCATGCAGTCTTGAGCAAGAAGGCAGCTCCCAGACATCTGCCTTTCGTTCAGTCAGGTCGTCCAGGTGTTGTCGACGGTGAAAAGCCTACCAAAGAGGATTCAATGAGATTCGGGATTGCAATGAGAGCACGCTCAGTTGTAGATGCCGCTGAAGACTCCGCTCCAGACAAGGAGGCACAGAGCAAAGAGAAACGACAAAAGTTCAGGGCATTGACATCCAGAGAATATTGCAGTTCAGGAGTCGGAAGATCTGGGCTTGATGCCGTGCTGCCGACTAGAGGAGGAGCAAGGACGCGTATCCAGACGTGCAGCTTGTTGTCCCGACCGTGTCTGCGAACTGGTAAGTGTACTGAATGGAATTCCATAAATGCGACGACATACGTGACGATGCTCGATGCCCACTCCTGTACGCTGAGGATGCCCTCTGCGTGCGCCTTCCATGTAGCAATGGGTCGCAACGTGCGCGTCGAGGTGACGAACACGCTGCCCGAGGTGTCGCCGGAGTATAGCCGCTCGTTGTCCTCAGAGAAGGACACGACGGTGACGTCTACCGCGTGGATGCGGAGGATGTGTGACGGCGAGGGCGCGTGCATCGTCGCGGTTGACGTTCAGGGCAACTGTCACTGTCCACAGTCCGAGTGCCAATAATTATTTGCTAAGCTGGAAATGGCAGGCGGCAGTCTGCTCTCACCGTCATGTCTGCCAGCATACATTAGCAATGGACACTATGAGAAACATACTCTTTACAGGCAACGACGATGAAGAGCACCTCAGAATATTCGCCGCTCGCCGTCAGCGACGAGACTGAAGAGTCGGTGTTCAGCGTATCGTTGGACGATGACCGTAAGTACACCCGACTCTTATTAGATTAGAATATTCTAACAATCAGACAAACTAGAATGCAACGCTCAATCTTCCATTGAAGGCGCTACTTTGGGACGACTACTTGGCCTCACAGTCGTGCTATCGCTAGTCTGCTCTATAGTCTCATTAGTCTTTCTGTGCTTGAATGCCCGTACACAATGGGACTTGCACCATCTCCTCGGTGGAATTGTCATGCATTCTGGCACGCCCAATGAGAGACCCGACCCTGGACTTCTGGAGAGACCAAGCGTATATAATGGTCTCGACAAGCTCCCGCCAGACCTACAGCATTCAGCGCTTCGGGGCACTCTGGATGTCTTTCCACCCTTCTTTCAGCCAGTGGACCACGTCCACCGACACTACGTCTTCCCGTCAGATGGCCATGCTCGTTTCACATTCAATGGACGTGTTTCACCGGGAGACCATCGTATCCTCCTGACGGATCATGTATGTCTATCTTTCAAAGTTGTCCTGTATAGATGGCTGAAAGATTTTCAGATTACAATGGTCGCTCAGTTCCGAGTCCGCGACTATGGTATGGAACGTTGCCGCATCGTCTCATAATACCAAGCTGGGAGCTCTTGCAATCTCATAACCAGACGCTACATCTCGCGGGTGACACATCACGCATTGAGGTCTGGAATCTGACGTCGATTGGAAAGGATCTAGATGAACGTACCCTTTCCTGGGAGACAAAGCCACCTCGAAAGGAGCTTATTACAACTCTTTCCATCTACGAGAACTCAACTCATCGGTCTGACGAGTTCTGGTGTGGCGCATCGGGACGTCTACAGACACTTGAACTCCTCTGTTCTGGTGTAGGCTGTTACATAGAACTCTGGCAGGATTATTATTTTCAACCACGATTTGGTCAGCACAGTGATGGAATGCGCGTATTCTACAGTACTAATTGTCTTCTTAGGTTTCTTTGTTCAGCAATTTCCGTCTATATGATCTTCGTTGCATCGACGTCTTGGAATACCAGTTGATCCGCATAAGATATTAGCGCATGTCGACTGTCTGTCAATCCTGCCAGTTCTATCACGCCGCAGAATGTTATCTACCTCATGTCTGTCTCCGCTGTCAAGTTGCGATCGTGCTATTCTTCACCGTCTTTATTCCGACCGCCTGGCATAATTATCGTTGATCGTGTCGTATACCACCTACCAATCGTGGCATGTTTGCGTAACGCCCACTCCCGTCAAATCGTTGCCTCCCCCGTGTATACCAGCTTCAAAATGTCGTATCGGCGTCGCATAGGATCACCTGGCGAATAAATTTCATGCAATGCTGCAGATTGTGGTTCGTCCGGATCATCCATTGCACGTCGCATCTTCACGATGCAATGCGGTCTGTGGAACATCGACACGCGGGAAATGCGAATCCGAGGCAGACGAATCCGAAGCCATTTGGATAGACCCGATTCCACACGTCTTGGGCATCAGAACCATGTATAGGAAATCTGGCAGTGTTGGTGGCAAAGACATAGTCTATGGTCTGTCCGAGGCGCACTGAAGTCGCCGACTCTCCTTAGTATGATAATAAGGTTGGACAAGGAGAGAACGAGCAGTGCGGCGACGGTTGGAATTAGAGCGCAGTTCATCGGCCGTAACGAACAGTATTTGCAGATTTCGAATCTCGGTGTAAGCCAGATTTGTGGTAGTAGTTATTATATTACTTAAATCAGCATTACAGCCCACGTATCTTTCCCAATCAGCACTCAAACTTTTCCTAGGCAGTCACCCGTGCTTTTAGTATCCAGACTCTCATGAGTCATTATCCAAGCGGCATGAGCTAAAATGGCTTGCTAGTAGCGTAAAGTTGAAAAATAATATTCATTCTTTGCAATACAGAATGTGTATGGACAAGTAGAGTCTTTGAGAAATTTCCATAGAAAACATTGGAAACATGTTGGCCTAATGGAAACTATTTGATTCGTCACAAGTGGATGCTCTCTGGGGGACCAAGATAACTTGGACGGACACCACCGGTGTCTACAAAACAAGCCAGCATCAATAAATTGTACTTGGCTAACAGTTTGTTAGATGTACCAATAACTATCTTCTGCACAATGACAGCCGGCTCAACCATCCAAAGCTAACAAGAGGATCAGCCTTTCGACTTCATAGCCGTGCTCACGTACTGACCTTGAGTGTATGCGCACCAGGTGGGGCAGACCAGCTCGTAACAACGTTTACAATGGCATTCGCCACAAAGCCATCGTCACCGTCCCATTGCGGAGGGAGTTGACCCGGAGGTGCGGAAGGAATGAATGCCACCGTTTGTGGAGACTGGCTATCCATTTGTACAGCAACCTTGATAGGCCTATCTGGACCCATGAAGTTCAGCGTGGGTGAAACGAGGACAGTTGCAGAGACATTTCCTGTTCCATTGATGGTATTGAAGTTATAGAAATCATATTCACTGTTGCGAACACAATGAGCTTCTTCCTGTGGACGTCTCTTTTCCATACTCACATGCTTGGACCTGAGCCAGCGGTGAAGTTCCCGAAGTTGTTCCCTGTCCTTGGCCAAGGTGTGACTCCGGAGAGCGTCTTTCCGTATCCAGGCAGTTCAGTCCAAGTTATATTTGATACGGTAGTGTTCCGAGACGCATGAGCTGCCTCGATGGAGACTCCTCCATCTCCTTCCACGAAACCTAACATTGAAATGGTTCGAGCTTCAAGGTATTCGTTAGAAAAGGAATATGCTATACTTTTAAATCCTTGCGGAGCAACGGTACGATTCGCAACGAAGAAGACAGGTACACTCATCGGCATTTGTCCGTTAGCACTAGCGTTGAAATTAATCTGAGCTGCCTGCGACCCATCTACTTGACTCCAGTCAACGGTAGCCTCGACACGCACTTCCGGATTTGACGGTGAAACGGAGCCCTCGGCCGGTGTAAGTGTCAGCCAAGAAACATTTGATGTCGCAGTAAACGTGAAGGGTGAGGGACCACCGGCACCGACATCGATATAACGCGAATTCAATGGAACATATGGATCCAAAGAGATAACTGCCGTGGGACACGTATCACTCATACTGCATGACAACAGATTTGGGCCAGGCCTACAGATCAAAATTTCATATTAAAGGGATGTAAAGAGCGTTTCGAGAATAGCGCATCCATACCATGCTTGCCCAGTACCCTCTGGAGAAACCCTCATTGGGCCAGGTATTGACTGCTTTTGTTTTCGCATACGCGCAATAGGAGGCATTCTGAAATAGAATGATGTTAGCGTTCTGAGCCGCAAATATCGCGGAACGAACATATCGGCCATTGGCTGTCTTCGATAAAAATACTCGGTATGAGTCTGATCCATCATACTAGGGCGATACGTAAGTGTATAGCTTAATGCGCATACCAGATCTATACTCACTGGTCCCATTTGCCGTCTAGGAGATGGTGATATTTCAACTCGATCGAGTAATCTTGCTCGAAAAGTTCTTCGACCTCATCCGCAAGATTGTTCGTGCTTAGTCGGGCTTGCGATGCATGCAAGTTATTCAGACCTTGAGCGATCCACATCTTCGAGAGGGTGGAGCCTGCAAGGATAGGATGCTGTACCATCTCAAAGAATGCAGGTCGAAACTCTGAGGTCAGGCTGTTGTAAATTCCAGTCGACACATTGAGAAGGGCGCTCCATCCCGTGATGACATTCTCCGCTCTGTAAGATAAGAACACACGAAAGAAGAGAAACAATGAGTCACCCACTCTCTGTAATCCGTCAGGCTGAAAGTCGTGCCGTTGAGTAGCTCAGGTTTCCGTCGATTATTCCACCTGGTAAGGTTTGTCATAATCGTTACGATGTCTTCCGCAACGGACGGCGACACATCAAATTCGCGCTGAGCCCACGATGACACAAACTTGTCGAGATTATTGAAGGACCATCGCGAAGAGTTCCAACCATAGCTGAAAAAGAACTCGATATTGAGCTCGTAAGGTTTGAGGTCTCCGACATTGACTACCCAAATGCGAGTAGCCTGGCGCTCGACGGCTTGGGAGAGCTGGTCGAATGTCTGAACAGAAGGAGGTTAAACCATAGAATCGGAAGTTATGCCATCTAACCTTAGCCATTTGCGTGCTCTAATACTGCGTTAGCTCTCCGTCAAGACAAGTGTAAAGATATGCGTACCGTAATCCACTTGTAGTCTCTCGGATCGCCAACCTATTCTATTTATGACTCCTTGCTGTATAAGTAGTCGAATATTGAACGCACATAGTCATACTACAAAATACACGTCAGGCAGCTATAAATGTTGCATATAGTCAAGAAACACACATGATAGTAGACACCTGCACCGCCCGTTCGATTGAACTCATCAGGAATCGGGAGGCGGACCATGTTCCCCCAGCTAGAACATGCGTTAAATGGAATCAGGAGCCGTATCAAAACAGCAGAGCATTACTTGTCATCACTCCAAAGCAAAGAGATATCATCCGGCACGCGCATACCGTCATCATAGTAACCAATGACCTCCTTGTCTAAAATATAAGAGTGGGTAAGAGGCAGTAGCGTCTTCCTCATTCAAAATAACTCACAAAGTGCCCACACTTGCGGTATATTCGTAACATCTGTCTCATTAAAGACAGTCATCAGAATCTGACGCTGATCAGAAATGATCTTTTCCAATAAGTCAATATTCGTTGTTTCGGACAGTGGCACTGTTCGATCGTCAATACACTGTCGTAACATGGACAATGAGGAACGTACGGTCACCATCGCCTCGCATTCCCACGGTAAAGATGTTCTCATATGGCTTAGCTCGCTCCGTGCCATTAACCCAGAAATTATAGATGAATTCCGAATTCGTGGAATAGTTCCATGGTCCGACCCCAAACAGTGTCCACTCTTCAGGGATTGAACGCATCATAGGCTCTTCGTGACTAATTGATGGCAAAGCAGTCAGTAAACAATGCATCCTACCCGAGTCCAAAACATGCCTTGTGCCCATGACGATCCCGTACCAGTCTGCTAGTGGTTGGTTTTGCGGGTCATCAACGCCGAAGGCACTGGAGGGAAACGAGTTAGCCAACGTTTATGATCAGAATAGCGGATATACCTGCTCCAGATAGCTAGAAATGGTTTTTATCAACACTTAGTCGTGGACGGGGTTCGTGAGGCACATACCCGGCCACAAGAAGTTTCCCTTTAGGCGCAGAATGAGCTCAAACCTGATGCGAAATCAGTACGCCTGAGCTTATTGAAGTATCTACACTTACACTTTTGTATAGAAGAAATGATTGAAAGGGGAGTTGGTCAGTGGTGCTCCTGTGCCATTAGTGAACTTCTCCATGGCCCAGTTCTGCAGGGCAGGCTGTTCGTCATTGAAAAATATTGCCCTATACTTCACAGTCGGTGATCCATGTGAACAACCTGAGGATAAAAAGAAGATTTCAGAGTTTCTAGTCGTCGGGACATCTGCCCACCTTCAATGACGAATACAAGTCAGCTCGTGCTAGCGTAAATCTACAATTGCCTTGCGTACCAATACCACGGTGAGACACCAATTTGTTCTGAGAGATCGTACATCGCATAGATTGTACCACGCTTATCAGCTCCAATTATCACGTACGCTTTTCCAACACCAGGGAGTGGGTTATCAACCACTCTTGTCATGAAGGACTCCCACTGGCCAGAAACAGATGTCACGTCAAGCTGTGTGTGATTTACGATAGCATTAATCAGGGATGACTTTCCAAGAGTGCCAACGATTATCGGAGGTAGTGATGCTTTCACGTCCGACGTGACATTTAATAGGCGAGGTGTCTTTCCAGCCACTTTCTCGATGTCAGAAGCAAAGTCGAAAGCAGTCCGCTGAACACCAGGCCATTCATCCTCGGAAAGATAGATTGGCGCAACAGATCCGCCGCTGACCACTGAGAACGAGGTCGGGTCGGACTCGAAGGAAACACAATTCTCTTGGCCGATAGCATAGACTCTAGTCAGACAGATCGCGCAGTACAGGAGAGCTCCGACCACCCCAACGATAAGAGAAACCATGGTGGGCGATACTTGAGGAGATCCACTTCACGGTACCGATCGTAATAAATAGAAAACTAATTTTCTTTGCTTCGTCCGACCATCTGCGCCTCGGAGAGAAGCGTTCTGAATTACATTTGCCGCCAGTAAACAAGAAACTCTGAGAAGCTAGATAAGTCATAACACTGCATCTAGTGGACATTCAGCGCTCTGTACGTAGTCACCAGGTCCACGGTCCGGTTATACTTGCATTCGGAAGCGTTATGGAGCTATAGAAAGAATGCCGAAATTTTTGAACCGCCCCGCCCTGATAGTCGTCGAAGGCCACAGAAACGCGCGGCGTATGTCTTGTGATAGCTACTGTCGTGGCGCCCCATGTGGTCAATTTAAGACTATTTCACCCATTTCTATTCACCACAACCCTTATACAATACAAAAAGTTATAATTATAAATTACAACATCTTGTCTACAATATACTGGTTTTATTTTTGTAAAAAAGTAAAAATTAAATATTTTATTGATTTTATAAAATGACAAGTCAAAAAGTGTGGTTTGACGCGTCTGACCTACATGTGGACACCCCGTGGGAAAGGAATTTGCCCACTGTATCTAAGTACATATTCTCAGTACACAAACTCAATTTTGACTCTATCTAGAATAATTTGAATTGGAAACAGAAGTAATTACATTCTATCTGTTTTTTTAAGTTTATTGACTAATGAAATTACAGGAACAGGCTTAATATAATGATTGGAAACTATTTAATTATATACTACTATCTCTCTCTTACACTCTCCTCTATCTCTCACTCTCACTCACTCTATACTTCTAGTGTATACTAGTTCCAGTATAGAGTATATTACTTCCTCTTCTGAGAGTTGAGCTACTGTGTTTGTTTGGAAATCTCTCCTCTTATAAAGTAATACATATTCTACTATTTTATATAAATACTAATTAATTTCTTCCTCCTTTATTTCAAGCTTATATTCTTTCTCCTTTAGTTATCAAAGCTATACTACTCTAATACACTTGATGCTGTTTATTCTGAAGGACTTACACATTTAAAAAAATTAATAACATTATTCTTACTACTAATACTTGTAATAACTATAATTTTTACAGTTGTAGAAACAATAACCTAGTACAATTTACATTTTTAATTTTAAGCTATGATATTTGGTACATATATACTTCCAACTTATATAAATATAAATAATAACTTTATTTTATAGATTATCAAAGTAGAATTGTAGTATAAAAAATTATGAAGTTTGAGATTAGT